ACCCCCGGGGATGCCCCCAGCTCAGACCCCGCCCCCATGTGCACCACCAGCTCAGGGTTCCAGTCTTCATCTTCCCAGTCCTCCTCCTCCAAAAACTCTTTAAAGTCCAGAAAGGCAGCCTTGAAGCAAGCGAAGCAAACCCTCAGCTGGTCGCCATGTTGAAGCTGATACACCCAGGACGCGTGCAGATAGGACATGCCCTCCGCCTCATGCCGCAGGCTGACCGGGGCGCACATGGCCACGCTGCCGGCCTCCGGCGAGCTGGGCGGCCGGAGCAGGACTCGCTGGGATCCTAGCTGCTCTGGCCCACAGGTGGGCGCACGGCGCGGTGCGGGGCCGGGGAGGGGGGCGGGACAGGCGAACAAGGAGGGAAAGGTGAGGAGGTGGGGGAGATAGGGGTGCCTGGTGCGGGGATCTGGGAGTGGGGGGAACCGGGTCCCGACTCAACAGGGACCTGCAGAGGGTGGGAGGGAGGAGGGAACGTGTAGAACTGTCTTCAGCTGATGCAACCGCCTGATCTCTGGGGAGCTGCAAAGGAAAGCAAGTGAGGTGAGGGCCCCCAGGCAGGCAGAGTGGGGCAGACCCCGCAGGGTCGAGCAGGCCGCGGGGCTCCGGGGTGGGGCTGTGGGCTCAGACTGGGCCCTTCAAGCTCTGCCTCTGCTCAGATGAGCTGTCCTGGGGCCTGTGGGTCACACGGCCCCTCCCCAACCCAACTCCCCACGCCTGACCCCAGGGACCCCACACCCAGTCAGCCTTGCCTGAGGGAACCTGACAGAACCTGAGGGAACCTGACAGAACCTGAGGGAACGTGACAGAACCTGTGGGAACCTGACAGAACCTATGGGGAACCTGACAGAACCTGAGGGAACCTGACAGAACCTGAGGGAACCTGACAGAACCTCCGAGAACCTGACAGAACCTGAGGGAACCTGACAGAACCTGAGGGAACCTGACAGGACCTGCGGGAACCTGACAGAACCTGAGGGAACCTGACAGAACCTGTGGGAACCTGACAGAACCTCAGAGAACCTGACAGAACCTCAGAGAACCTGACAGAACCTGCGGGAACCTGACAGAACCTGCGGGAACCTGACAGAACCTGCGGGAACCTGACGGGAACCTGAGGGAAACTGCCAGAACCTCAGAGAACCTGACAGAACCTGAGGGAAGCTGACAGAACCTGAGGGAAGCTGACAGAACCTGAAAGAACCTGACAGGACCTGCGGGAACCTGACAGAACCTGTGGGAACCTGACAGAACCTGAGGGAAGGTGACAGAACCTGTGGGAACCTGCCAGAACCTGTGGGAATCTGACAGAACCTGACAGAACCTGCGGGAACCTGCCAGAACCTGTAGGACCTGACAGAACCTGAGGGAAGCTGACAGAACTGACAGAACCTGAGGGAACCTGCCAGAACCTCAGAGAACCTGACAGAACCTGAGGGAAGGTGACAGAACCTGTGGGAACCTGCCAGAACCTGTGGGAATCTGACAGAACCTGCGAGAACCTGACAGAACCTGAGGGAAGCTGACAGAACCTCAGAGAATCTGACAGAACCTGAGGGAACCTGACAGAACCTGAGGGAACCTGACAGAACCTGTGGGAACCTGACAGAACCTGAGGGAACCTGACAGAACCTGAGGGAACCTGACAGAACCTGAGGGAACCTGACAGAACCTGTGGGAACCTGACAGAACCTGAGAACCTGACAGAACTTAAGAGAACCTGACTGAACAGCAGAGAACCTGACTGAACAGCAGAGAACCTGACAGAACCTGAGGGAAGCTGACAGAACCTCAGAGAACCTGACAGAACCTGAGGGAAGCTGACAGAACCTGAGGGAAACTGACAGAACCTCCGAGAACCTGACAGAACCTGAGGGAAGCTGACAGAACCTCAGAGAATCTGACAGAACCTGAGGGAACCTGACAGAACCTGAGGGAACCTGACAGAACCTGAGGGAAGCTGACAGAACCTGAGGGAACCTGACAGAACCTAAGAGAACCTGACAGAACCTGTGGGAACCTGACGGAACCTGAGGGAAGCTGACAGAACCTGAGAGTAACTCACGGAACCTGAGGGAAGCTGACAGAACCTGAGGGTAACTGACAGAACCTGTCAGAACCACCCCCACTGGAGCTGACCCATCAGGCTGAGGCCTGAGGCCTGAGGCCTCGTTGCACCACGTCGGCTCTTCAGCCTCCAAGCCCCACACTCCTCCAGCCCGTGAGCCCCAGACCCGCTCCTCAGTCCCAGGGGCTCTCACCGGGCCGGTGCCTCCCTCCTGTGGGCGCCCCCGGGGAAAAGGAGGGCACAGAGCCCACCTGGGAATATAAAGGGCCGTTTCCCATGGTGCTCCGGGCTCATCTGCATTTCTCCCATGAGCCTCGGCCTCCAGGAAATGAAACTGCTGAGTCATCCCCCCTCCCCCAGGGGAGCCTGAGCAGCCCCCCCGGGGGGGGGCCTGTCCCCCAGCCCAGCCCCAGCCCCATAGCCCTGTGATGTCTGCTTCTCTGAGAAAATGCTTCTCATCGCCCTTTCAATCTACAGGTGCCTGAGCCTGTGCGTGTGACAGTCTCTCTGCGGTCACTGTCCCTTCGTGGGCCCCAGGTGACCTGCCTGGTCATGGGTCCTGTCCTCCTGGGTCTGAGTGGATTCCTTCTTTGTGCCTCTTGATTACAGCTTCTTTATGAATTTCAGAAATGGATCGATCGCCAATTATTTACACTTTAAGGGTGAAATTTCTGTCTCTTTGGCTCTTCTTTTCACTTTTAAAATAAA